CTGCCTCAACCAATAGAATTTGGCAGAAGTGACTCCCAAGCTAGGGTAGAAAAGGCTTGCAACTTCTGCCTGGGTCCTTTGGAATGATTACTTCTTGGACGTGCCCTCTCAAAACACTGCACTGCCAAATAAAAAGTCTGAATGTCTTTTGGTCCTTACATTAGTGAGCCCATGTGTAGGCACTCAGGCCAACGGTCCCAAAGGAAGCCCAACCTTTCAGCGGTTCTTACCAGGGTGACAGTATGAACGAAGAGGCTATCCTGGAAGTGGCTTCCCCAGCCCCAGGTCCCCAGCCATTTGAGTCTTTCCAGCTGAGGCCCCACACATCAGGGGGCAAAGATAAGCCATTCCCCTTATGCCTTGAGCCCTAGAGTCCATGAGCATAAGCAAATGGTATTCTTTTTTGCCAGGGAGTCTGGAGTGGTTTGCTACACAGCAGTAGTATCTGAAATGCCCAACCACATGAATGATCACGCCCCAGAATGAGGATCCATATACTTCTCTGAGAGTTTCTAGAGCTGCCCTGGTTATATGACTATTAAGCTCTTCTTACATTCCAAAAGATTCTTGTATAAACCTCCTTTGTTTTTGAGATCATCTGAATAGGCTTCTTCCTTATAACCCAACATGCCACAAGGGAATGCCCATCACGAGGCTGTCCATGACAAAGGTGCTATCTCCCCCTGCAACCAAAGCTGCCAATTCTCAAGGACCCTAATGGATGTCAGGGCATTCCCAAGCAGTGGTGTGAAATTGGTCCTCTATTCTCCTGCACCTTGAGGCCCAATACTAAAGCAACACTAATGCCCAGAGTCTCCCACAACACAGAGACTTTAAGTTCCTTTAAATTTCTTGCCCAAATCCCTGTTCCCACTGGGGCTCAGATCTAGATTAGGAGTTTAGCAGAGAACAGACAATATCTGTGGCTGGAGGAACAGTACAGTCTAAGAATGACACTAAGGGCTCACTGTAATTTGCCTGGACGATGATCTACTCATGGGTAAGGATTCTCCCAGCAGGGAGGGTGGACCCAAACTCAGCTTCCCATGGTATCTGGAGCTTCCTCCTCCAGCCAGAGGGGCTACAACTTCCTGGGGACCAAGGTCTTCCAGGCTGGAAAGCTGGTATTCCTGGCGAACAATTCTAAAAAGCTGGCACCTGAATCTATACTGCAACAACAAAACTTCGAATAAAATATTCTTGGAGTGGATATTTGATATCCTACACTTTGCATAGCACATCCATTCAGCTAGATAAAAATGATGTGACTTGTTCATCAAGTAAAATGATACACAAGAAACCTTCAAGGGAAGCAAACTACTGATGTTCCAAACACCCCACATGTTATCAGAGAGAAGTTTATTCACTAAAGCTGCCAGGAAATACTTGTTATCTCCACTTAACAGAAGGATAAAAGAACCACGGGAAACAAACTTCCAATATGGCAATGAGGATAGCAGTTTCTTGGGGTTTAAGTGCCAGCTTTAGAGAATATAAAGTTATCCCAAATTCACTTGACCCTCACTATTATACTATAATGGGCTATTGTCCAATATGTCCAACCACATTTTAATCATGCCCTTTCAGGTCCTGTAATAAGGACATCATCCAGGACGATGCCTAAGCTAGTCTTGCTATCTCAAATGTTTGCTCTGAAGCAGTGGTCCTCAGCCTCGGCTGTGTACTGGAATCACCTGGGAAGATTAAGAAAAATACTGAGACCTGGGTCACATTGCAGTGATCCTGATTTAACTGGTCTGAGTGCAATCTGGGCACAAGCCCCCCAAGGTGACTCTAATACACTGCAAAGGTCGAGAACGTTGTTCCAAAGCAGTTTCTCAAAGCTCAGCACTATCAACATTTTGGGCCAGATCCTTCTTTCCTGTGCACTGCAGCGTGTTTAGCAGTACCCTTGGCTTCTACCCACTAGATGCCACTAGCCCTCACTCCCGCTCCCCTTCTTCAGTTGGGAAAACAAAAAACGCCTCTAGACATTGCCAAATGTTGGGGGCGTGGGTGGTAGTGGGCAGTTTGGGAACTGCCCATGGACAGCTGTAAAGAATATTAGAGTAAACCAATTTTATTATTTTGGGTGGTTAGAAAATGATTCCTAAAAAATAAAAGAAAGAAAATGATTCCTGGCAAATAAAAGCAGAGCAAAACAGAACTTCATCAGAGACTCTCATAAGTAGGGCCCATTGGGCACCATTGAACAGGGCACTGATCAACAAGGCACAGAATGCAACCGAGTACCCCCAAATGCTTAAGAGTTATGGGGAAATACTGAGAATGCCATAAATTCAGTCCCTTCAAAATATCCATTTAAAAATAGCACAACTGCAGGGATTTACAGATTAGAAGTGGCTTTGGCCACATCTGTCACATTTGACCTCATTCCATTTTGGAAAGCTTTCGTATTACCAGGAAAAAAAAAAAATCTGCTACAGTCTTGTCAACAGGCAACTATTTTTAGACAGTCTCATTTTCTTTGGTGGCTCTGGAATACTGATTTCCCCCACAGAGGAAGGCTTACAAGGAAGTACAGTCAGCCAAAGAGGCTTGACGTTACTGACATTACAAGAAAAAGGGAAAATTAACCCACCTAATTATACTCTTGAGCTTCCTGCATTTTATTTGCAAATGTAGTTACACCAGGCCCATAATACTTTCAGGTATGCTTTTAAAATACACATAGGCCTGCAGACAAGTAGGCAAATTGGGTTGTGTTTACTTCTTTCTATTTATGTGGGCCAATACTTTTTGCAAGCTGAACCTTGGGTGCAAAAATCGAACACATTTCTAATTCCGTGAGGGATTCTTCATTTTGCCTCATTCCTTGATCTCATATTGAATTTCCTCCTAGATCAAAAAGCAATTTGAAAAGAATGGTAGGTTAAAAATAAGAGTTTTCTTGTGGGGAGGGTATAGCTCAGTGGTAGAGCACATGCTTAGCATACATGAGGTCCTGGGTTCAAGCCCCAGTACCTCCATTAAGGAAAAAAAAAAAAAATACAGAAAAAAAAGTTTTCTCAAAAATAATGTTTTTCTCAAAACATTTGTTAAAAATTTAGCCATAAAGAACCAGTCCCCAGGAAATGAGGGGTAAGTTACTTGCTAGTTCTATCCACATTCCTCTTCCACAAAGTCTGACAAAATGAGGGACTCGCTTGTTTACTGCTGTTTTCTTTAGGAACAAAGAACCTGAGGTGGGGATTTGGTAGAAAAGTAGATCACAAATAAGGGAAATTATGATATAAAAAGTGGAAGAGACAGACAAGATATTCAGTGACGTCCTCATTTCTGCTTCTTTTTCTTTTTCTTTTTTTACACAATAAAAGAGATAACCAAGAAGCCATAAAGAACAGGAAACTTCTTTTCTTACTGAAATAACAGCTGGGTCAAATAAGAAAATTCATCTAGTTATTCTACTCATCCATATAAAAATTAAAAAGAGAACAAGTCTTCTGAATTTTTATATAAAAATTAAAAATGTAATAAATTTTAGAACATAGCCAGTCAAAGGAAAGAAATAGAAAAATAAGGTGAGGGGTAGGGTAAGGAACTGCTGAAGGATGAGAGAGAGATGGGGAGACAGAGACTATTACCATCAGGGCAATGCCTTAATTTGGAAGCATTTAGATACCACTGTGAAAACTAAGCTGCAATTTCACAACTGTTGAGGTACGTGGGTGCTACTGTCTGAATGTTTGTGTCCCCCCACAAATTCTCATGTTGAAATTCTAAAGCCCCATGTGATGGTCTTTTAAGGTAGGGCTTTGGGGAGGTGATCAGAGCCCTCATACATGGGATTAGTACTCATATAAGAGGCCTGAGAAAGCTCCAAAGCCCTTCTACCCTGTGAGGACACAAGAAGTCAGAAGTCTGTGAGCCAGAAGAGGGCCCTCACCTGACCATGAAGGCACCCTGACCTTGGACTTTCAGCCTTTAAAACTGTGAGAAATAAATTTCTGTTGTTTATAAACCACCCAGTTTATGGTACAGATCTTTCTTGACTTATGATGGGGTTACCTCCAGATAAATCCATCATAAATGCAAAATATCATTAAGTCAAAACTGCACTGAATTCATCTACCTAACATCATCGCTTAGCCTTGCTACATGCTCAGGACACTTACATTCGCCTATAGTTGGGCAAAACCACCTAACACAAGGTGTATTTTGTAATAAAGTGTTGAATATCTCATGTAATTTACTGAATACTGTACTGAAAGTACAAAACAGAATGGCAGTGTATCGGCTGTTCACCCTTGTGACTGCATGGCTGACAGGGAGCTGTGACGCGATGCCCTAACCCAGCATCACGAGAGAGAACCCCACTGCGTACTGCTAGCCCAGGAAAAGATCAAACCTCAAAATACAAAATATGTATCATTTCTGCACCATCACAAAGACCATCATAAGCTGGGGACTATCTGTGTTTTGTTATAGCAGCCCGAACAGACTAAGACACTGGGCACTGTGTTAAGATGCTCCAGAAGGAAATATCTGCCTGAATTTGAGGAGTCAGAAATGATAATCAAAATATTTAACAACTGACACAATGAGGGCATCGCCACTGATTCAAATAAAATGAAGTTGCAGGTGTGGAAAAGGATGCTGGGTCCAAGCATCCTGAGGCCATCTGGTGCTGGGTGCAGGGCGGAACACTCCAGCTTTGGATTTAAGGGAAGCAGAACGTAGGTTATAAGAGGAAGGAAATGAGATTAGGAAATAAGAGGAAGAGATGATGACACTAGAGAGGAGATGGAGGTGCTGGCAGTCAGAGTAGACATTTTTCAGTGCAGACTGGTAGCCAGTCCCTGCTGGTTGCCACCTCCTGGTATTCATACTCCTGCGTAGTCCCCGGGGTCCTACAATGACTTAGTGTTGGTCGGTGTAACCAATCGTGTATGGTAGAAATTATGGTATCTCACTTTCGATATTAGGTAATACAAGACTGTAAGCTTCCCTCTTGGGTTCTCCTTTGCTCTCTCTCCTAGGTCACTTACACCAAAGGAAGCCATGGAGCAAACCGTCTTGTGGAGATGCCCATGTGGAAAGGGACGGAAGCCTCTTGCCAAGAGCCACGTGGGTAAGCCTGGACACAGCACTTCCAGCCTATCTTCAAAGACTACCACCCTAGCAGACAGCTTGACTGCAGCCCCACGAGAGAACCAGCCAGCATTCTGGACCCTCAGAAGCTTGTGAGATGAGTTACTAAGTAATTTGTTACGCAACAAGAGAGAACGCACAGCATTAGAAAAAGTAAAGACAAATATGTAAGAACATGGTACAAATACACTAAAATCAAGGAACTGCTTTTCCATCCGGGGCAGGGCAACGAAGGAAGGGGAGGTTGATGGAGCCAGTATTTTGTTGGTTTCTGTTGGGCTCTGGGTAAGAAGTTAATTTATGCAAAGTGCATGATAGTTAATTCTATCTACCATAAAAGAAATTGGGAAAACACTCCTATATACCAAGCTAAGTATATGCCAAGTAAGTTACAACAAAAATCATAAGAGACCATCATCATTAGCGCATTCACCAAATGTCCACCATTTCCCACACGCTATCTTCATTCCTCATAAAAAGTCCCATGTATGGTACAGCATAAGGGATTATCATGGAGCCAGTTTGGCTTCAAAGACTAAGTAGTCTCTTTCCACTAAACTACACGTCCTCGCGCATGAAAAAAAAAGAATCAGTAGAGGTTTGGCTGCAGGTCAGGAAAAAGAGAATCTGACTAAAAGGCCAAGTAAAGCAGCAAGTCACACACCTTGTAAGACACAGGAAGACCAAGCTCGGGGTTAAGCCGAGGTAAGTACAGGGATCACAATCTGCTGAATCCCCAACTGTTCGCTGCCCAGGAATCCTGGCCTCTTTCAGGTGAGCTTTTGGTTGGTTGACTGGTTTTTGCAATAAGGCCAGCCCACCCTGGACTCTGGGATCAGCTCTGGCTCAGGGCATGAAGACTACCAAGAACCCGATGGCAGGCGCCCTGAGCCCAGCTGCCCACTGGCACAGGACTGAGTTGGCCTCTCTCCTGACCTTCTCTGACCTTG